ATAATTCTCTTTTAAAATATATATGTATATATATATATATATATATATATATATATATATAAATTGTCTATCGCCGGAGCCTCTGCTAGGTTTTGCCCGATTGTGATTTCCTTGATCTTCTTCGTTGATTCATCTCCTCGGTCGGCTTCAGCGCCTTCGTCGCTTGCTTTATGCGGCTTCGTCAGTTTCATTACTTCGCTCGCTTTGCATCTTCATCTTCGTCGGCTTCTTCAATTGCATGAGGGCTCGGTTTCGACTTCTTCACGAACTCGAAACGTCGTCCCTTCACTTCACCTTCAGCAGCTAGTCAGTTTCGTCAATTGCAGGAGGGATCAGTTTTGACTCCTCTCATACGAACTCGACCATACGTCTCTTCGTCCTCCACGCGTTGCTTCTTCCTCGGCATACTGTTTCTCTCCTTTTGCTCGATTGCTCAGTTGTGAGCGTTCACCTCCTCCTCTGCTCTCGATTTGACTCAAACACGGTAGCTTCCCGCTGTTTGAATCTCAGCACTATAGCTTCCATTCCTCCTCAACCACTGACTGCTTCAGTTTTAAACCTTGGGAAGACTTCTTATGTTGATATTGTTGGCTCTGTGGGATCAGTGGATCAGCTTGTCCCTCTGGTTTATCATGAATCCTTTGAAGGCCAGGGGACTGTAACCTCATCAAGAAAACGAGTAGAAAGAGTGACAAACTAGCTTTAATTTTTTTTGATGTTGAAGTCTCCAACCTGGTTGATAAGTGCAAATTTGCCCTCATTGGGAGGTTTCAATTGGGACATCCTAAAATGAAAATTGTTCGAAAGACCTTTTAAGATCTCAAATTATTGAAACATTGGAAGGTTGGTCTCTTTGATGAGAGACATGTGATGATACAATTATCTAAAGTAGAGGACTATGCTAAAATTTTTTCCAAGAAGTTTATGGCAATTGATGGAAAATATATGGAATTGCTCAAGTGGTTCCTAAATTCGATCCTAGTCGAGAATCCCCTATAGTTCCAATCTGGTTTAAACTACCTGGCCTAAAGTTGCACTACTTTAATCACCAAGTCCTCTATTCTATTGGAGCTGCATTAGGGAGGCCTATGAAATTGAACATACCCACCTCAACCTATCTAGGCCTTCGGTCGCAAGGATTCTTGTTGAAAGGGATATCGCCCTCCCTGATGTGGAAGAAATATGGCTTAGTATTGCCCACAATGGGTTTTGACAGTCAAATTGTTTCAGAGCAAAGACCCTATTACTGTAATAACTGTAAACTGATTGGGCACACACCTGCTAAATGTTTCAGTCTTCATCCACATTTGAGATCTAACCTCTTTGTGCATTTGGATTCTGCAGTCCCTAACAATATCACCCAAGTGGAGGAAAATATTGCAGAAACTAAAGTTCTTCTATAAATATTGAATGAAAATTTATCTCATCAGACTATTCCTCACCAACCGGTTCCCAAACTACTTCCTACTGTTGTTGAGATAGCTCTTCCTCAGTGAGAAGAGGGTAATCAAGCCTTGGAGGAGCACCATGTTCAAGGTGTGCTGCAGGCTGAGACTGATAAGCATGCTACGGATCAACATACCCCCCAGGGTGAGCTCTCCATCGAAGATCCACAAATAGATCAGATGGGACAAACACTGGCAGATGAATGATAAATTTAAATCTAGGAAAAAGGAAAAAGAAATGCTAGAACTCAGAAATTTTCAAGACGATTGTTTGATAGTTTCGGGTGGAAGTCCACATCTCAGTCAGGTGTTGGACTTTCTCTCTAGAACCAAGGGGGAGGGGAAGTTGCAAATCCACCCACCATGAACATGATTTTTTCTTTTCTCTTTTTTGGGGTATACAAGTATTTTAAAGTCTCTTTTTGAGTATTGCATTCCCTGTGAGTGAGCTCTTTGTTCCTACTCACTAAAACCTTTGTATCTTTCCTTTTACATCAACAAATTTGCCTTTTATAATATATATATACGAGTATTTTAAAGTCTCTTTTTGAGTGAGTTGTATTCTCTGTGAGTGAGCTTTTTGTACCCACTCACTAAACCGTATCTTCCCTTTTACATCAATAAACTTGCCTTTTATAGTATATATATATTTTTAATTAAAGAAGCATTATTCGTCTCCCTACGCGTTAATATAATAAAGTTGATACAAATTTGTTGGAGAAGGATTCCCAACTAGAAAATCAGAAAAATACACTACTCACTCCATAATGGGGATCCTTTGCCACTTACATTTCAACCCAAAGAAGTAAATAAAAATAACATATACGAAATTTATAACCGATCACATACAAGTATACCCAAATCAAAAAATGTAACTCCAAATATAAATAAAAAGACAAAATGTTATTCAGACTTGCAGCAGTTGTAGGTATTCAAAAGATCCATATGAATATGCCGTAAAGTAACCAAAGAAAACTTTCTTGAAGTTGCCAGCCACCATCGATTGAAACCGGAGAAAATAACGCCTTAAAACCTCGAATCAAATTCCGAGCATGCCATCCTGCAACAAACAAAAAATACTCCAGAAAATACAAACTGTAATCAAACACTGCAGTACACCTTCCTCTAGAATCACTTCAATCTGTACAGAAGACGAGACCCGAGCGAACAACATAAGCAACCATAACACTGATAATGATCTTGGTCATTTTGAAACCTCCATTCACCTTTCCAAAAGAAAATAGGTGCAGCAAATGCACCCATAAAGATGGCAGCAAAGATTTAATCTATCAAAAGGTATAGCACTCCACTCCAAGCATCGCTTTAACCAAATTCTGTTCTATAATCATAAAACAATATGCAGTAGATAAGGCCCAAATCCCCTCCAGCCACGGGAATAAAAAACCGCAACATTTCCAAGTGACAAATCAAATCAAATCTGGAAGGTTAATAGAGAGCATTGAAAATTGATTACAGGCAATAAATACTATTTATATTATTACAGCCCAATAAGTTTAATAAAAAAAATCTCTAACCTTCATATCTTTTCTATGTGCCCAAAGTAAAGCAGCTAGGCTAATATGTAGCTTCACCACATATCATTTTGCCTTTATAAAAGGAAACAGTACAATGAAATATCGCATATATATGTACATCCACTCCAGCATCACATCCCAAGAATGCCAACTCCTTTAAATAAAATGGCAAGATGTAGAAAGAAGAGAAACTCCCACAAATGACCGAAAAGAGCACACCTTCAAGAAGAGGAGTAACAAAATCACAAAACTGAAATAAAATCATTGCCTAATGTAAGGCAAATCCATAGAATCTCCTAACAGTAGATATTTTAGCTGAGACTTTGGTGAAACACCAACAATTATACTTTCCTCCATATTACCTCTCCCCGCTAACCAATCCGCCGGGGAGTTCCCTTCCCTAAGAATATGAGATAATTGAATAGAAAGATTGAACTTATCAATAAGTTCCTTGATTCTATTCCAAAGACCCACAACATTCCACTTGGGTATGACATTCATATCAAAATCCTTATAGAGATTTATAGAATCAGTCTCAATGATCAGATTAGAGAAATTAAAAGATATAGCCACCTTCAAAGACAATAAAAAAGCCCAGCATTCAGCCTCAAAAAGGGAGGAGGCAGCAGTCGGAGAAGCAAAAAAACACCGACAAATCCCTAAGTGATCTCTAAAAACACCAACAGCTCCAGTCGCCTTGGAAGCTCAGATTCCATCAATATTCACTTTGATCCAGTCCATTGGAGAGGGTTGCCACTTAATAAGAGTGGCCATCCTACCCACCGTAGGTTGGTGAAAATCATCATTCAAACCAAAATTACGGCAAACTCTAAATAAATAAGCAAGGATGTAAGAGATCATAGTAGTAGTTCCCGGCCCCAAAGCTTGATACTTATGATCATTCCTTGCCACCCAAATAAAACACATCACCAACAAAGGAAAACTATCCAATTTAGAATCCATCAACTTTGCAGTCCTCCACTTAAGGAGGTAGCTTTTAATGTCATCACAATCAAACCAATTTATATGAAAATGTTTTCCCAACGCATTCCAAATCTCTTTAGCATAAGAGCAATGGAAAAAAAGATGCACTGCCGATTCCTCTTCAATTTTACATAAAACACATTGCGAAGCAAATTTCAACCCTTTCAGTTTAAGGATATCATCAAGAGGAAGCATGTTAAGAAAGAATCTCCACAGAAAAAATTAGATGGAGGGAGTAAGGAAACTATTCCAAATGGTATTTCCCCACCTCCAATTATCATACATATAAAGTTTCGAATAAAGCAATTTAGATGGAGCAATATTTGAAGTGGTTTTCCAAATAGGGGTGTCTTTTACATTATTCTTTATGGGGATCTTAGTGACTAGAGCAGTTTTATCCCCTACAAGAGACATTAATTTATTAACATCTCAATTACCGTCCAACCATACATCAAAAATAATCATCTTATTGTTTTGAGGGGTAAGAATAGATAAATCCCTATCCCTCAATCCCCAATTATCGTG